GAATGGCCTACATTCCCCCCTCACAGGGCCCACATCCCCCCACAGGGCCCCCATATTGCCCTGTATGGCCCACATGCCCCCCTCACAGGGCTCACATCCTCCCCCCTGCATGGCACACATCCCCCCACACAGGGACTGCATGTCACGCTGGGCCAGGTCCTGCACAGAACTGGCCCAGCCCAATGGTGTGTGGGGCACATGCATGCAGGACCCAGCCCAGCATGATGCATAGTCCCTGCGAGCAATGCTGGACCTTGGGTGACAGCCTGAGTGGCCTGGAGCTTCCCGAAGGCCTATGACCCCACATCAAGCCAGACCAGGCCCATGCGACGTGGCACAGATGGCTCCAGGTACCAGATGGGCGGGGCCAAGCAACTCTGCCCCACACCATGGTGGGGCTGTGCCAGGAGGGCCCTGAGCACCCCAATGGCAGCTGCAGCTGCTGCTGCCGGGGAGCGGGGTGGGGGCTGTGGGCTGTGTAGGAGGCAGGCAAGGTGTCCAACCCTTCCAAGCAGCCCAGCCACCCACCCACAGTCCCCCACACCCACACAGCCCCCCTGCTCCAGTCCCCACTACCCTGAAGTCCTTTACTTACCTGGGAAGGAGCCCAGTCCCATCAGGCTGCAGCCTACACCACTCTTTGCCCCACACATGGAGGTAGCGTGATGATGCACTGGGGCAATGGGCAGCCAAAGAGATGCTCTGGCCAGCTACCAAAGTGTCTCTTTAGAGGAACTCAGCCTCTGGTTACCTCAGGGCATGGTCCAGGACCATGCCCTGTCCCGGTTTTTTTTCTTTTTATTTATTTATCTATTTTCCATAACTAGATTTCCAGGTATCAGATTTTGATCCCTTACTATAAATATGCAGTGCAGGAAACTTTTTTTGGTCCCAGCGTGCCTCTTGTGGGTCTCAAACTGCTTTGAGATACTGCAAGAGACACATGCAGGCTCATCTGAATACACCCAGTGGGCGCATCTCCATGAGACACATTACAGCACAGTAGACTAATCTACTGTGCAGTAAAGCATCACCATCTACACATGTGCACATTTACCGCACAGTAAATTAATCTACTGTGTAGATTCATAGAAGCAGGGTCAGAAGGGACCTTGTAGATCATCAAGTCTGACCCCCTGCCCTGTAGGTCATCAAGTCCGACCCCCTGCCCTGGGGTATAAACAGGTAGTTTATATTACCTGTATAAACTAACTGCACAGTAGATACTGTGCAGGAGCACATGTGTAGACACTGACCAGGATCAAATTTGCTTCTTGTCAGCCTCAACACTAGGGGGCCACAGCAGACAGGGAACTCCCTTGGTCCTGGTGCTACTCAGCTCCCAGCTCCCTCCAGGAGCGGGGAGCCAAGCAGTGCTGGGATGGGGTAGTTCTCTGCCCCACTCCCCTCCTCCACCCGCATCCAAGTTTTGCCCAGGTCCTGGCTTCCTACAGGAGCTAGGAGTCTAGCAGCACTGGGACTTCAGAGATCTCTGCTTCCCTGCTCAGCCTCAGGCTGGCCAGGAACTGTCTCATTTCTGAGGAAGATCTCAGCCAGCTCTTGGCTGTGCAAGGGTTTCCCCACCCAGCCTGGACCTGGCCAGGAACTGTCCCCCTTCTGCATCAGGTCAAAAGTATAATGGTTAAGGAACTTGAGTAGTGACTGGGAAATCCTTTTTACAGCCCCTCCCCCAAGCCAAAGAAGGTCTGAATCCACAATTACCACTTCCCAGAAAAGCCCAAACCATCAGCCTATGGACTAGACAAAACTGAGATCTCCCTCCATTGAGAGTACCTGGCCCACAGGGGAGCAGAGAAGGTAAGCCACTGCATAGAAGCATAGTTCTGCAGTTTCATGAGATGCCCACAATACTCGAAGGAAGTCAGTTCTGGGTTCTGTTCCAAGTCCCAGTACTCTTTTGGCCTCAGTTCCAGCTCCAAGTGCTGTCCATGCATGTTATCCAATGACAGTTTAATACATAATGGAAAATATAGAATAGGAAACAAGAGCAGGAGGGGACTCTTGGCTCTGTCTAGCCCATAGCTTGGTCAGGGGATAGATATAGTGGGAATTTGGAAATAGGGCCTAAACCCATTCTGAATGAAGGAAGGCCCAGAACCTGGGTTTCTCGCTTTCTAGGAAAGTGTCATGCCACTAGGCTATTTTGCTGAAACATAAATATGACTTTCTCCTTCCCTTCAATTGCTTAGTCTCTTTTTTTTCCCTAGATAAAATTTCAGACACTTGCATGAGCCTCTCCCAGGCAGAATAGGATTGCAATAAAACATAAACAGTCAACCAGAATTGAGGCCTTAGTTACAAAAAACAATAGTCAATATCTCAGTCGGCGCTTGCTGTACACAAGAGCTTACTCGGTGCACAGTCATGGGCTCATAAAAGATCATACCAACTTAGTGGGCATGTCTACATGTCACCCTACGGCAATGTAGTGATGCACTACTTTGCCATACAGCACGCTACAGTGACATAGCAATCACATGTGTCCACATATGATTGCCAGCTATGTCTCCATAGTGGTGTACTTCCCAGCTATAGTCTGCTGTTACAGCGATGTAGCTGGTGAATTTAAGCATGCACTGCCCATATGCTGCAGTACAGGAGGTGCAGTTTCCCCCAAACCCTTGCACTTATCTCTTTGAAACTTGGCAGGCTTCATGGCCTCAGCAGGGGCCACCACCCCTGCAGTTTTCAACCCGCTGCACCTTAATACACACAGGGTCATCTATGTCATGAGTTTTGCCTCTCAGCAGCTTGAGGTGCAGTTCCCCCTAAACCCCTGCACCCATCACCTTGAAACTTGGCAGACTTTGTGGCCTCAGCAGGGGCTACCACCCCTGCAAGTTTCATTGAAATAAGACAAAAACAACAAAGTTATAGATATTTCATTGATTCCCCATTATACCCTATGGCAGCATCTCCGAGGCGGCTCCCAAGCTTTTCCAAAGCAGTTCAGAAGCTCCAAACCACTTCAGAAAGACTAAAGAAGGCAGCGCTTCAATCCAGACATGCTTCTTCAGATGCCAAAGCATGCAAAGCTTCTCTGGATCCAAAGCATGGCCCAAAGCCTCACACAGCCCTACAAATTATTATTATTGTTGTTGTTGTTACTGTTACAGCTCAGAACTTGGGTTAGCTTTATTCCACTGTGTCTACAAAAAAAAAAAGAAAAGGGTAATGAGAACATTTTATAAATAGCCCAATTAAATAACCACTTCAAAGAATTCATTCCTACCTGATCCCAGGTTGGGGATGTGAAAAGTCGTGAAAAAAATGATTGAGCTCAGTAGAGAACATCCGGCTGTGCAGCTCTGGCAGAATAAGAGGGCTTTCATTTTTATCCTACCATGGATCGGACAACAGCTGGGCCTGGTCCAGATGGGCAGGTCTTCACATGAGTTTAATGGGCTTTGTGTCTAGGCCTAGTGACAATAATAATGGTAATAAATTAGGATTACAGTGTTTGAAGGATAGAAGATTATAAGGGTGCGGGGGAAGGGGTTTCATGAAGAGGGAGGAAGCACACAGTTAAGTAAATCCATTTTGATATTAGCATATCACAACAGAAAATTCATATTAAAGAAGTAACTGGCCCAAGATTGTCCCTCATGCTCCTGTTTTGTAATAAAATAATAACAGATTTTTTCACTTGTTTTTATTTTAAAGAATAGCTTTAAAATTGTTGGGTTGGTTCTGGAGAGGGAAAAAAACATCAAACTATATGGATCAGATCTTATTAAATTTCCTGAATCTCTCAAAGTTAGCTTGATACTTACCTCAAACTTAGGTTGATCCTTCAAGAGGCCTATTAGTCCTATTAAACTTCTAATATACCTAAATCTCCCAGTATCTCAGTTGCACACCCATAATATCTTCCTATTCTGCTCTGCCAAGGCATATAACTTTTCCATTGAACCCAGACTCCCAGCTTCACAGAACAGTGTCCATGTCTATCAAGATCTGTGCTAGGCAGGACTGAGAATATCCTCCATCCTTTCTGCTGAAACTGGGTCACTGGACAACCAATAAAGAGCATTATGGGGCCAGGAAGAAGGTAAGCAAGACAGAGCAATACTCTTTGTCCCAGTGAAACAGGAATGAAAGGCTGCTAGGTTCTACTCTTTCATCTCCTTGTCTCTAGTCCTGATGCTTGTTAACCACTTTATCCAACAATTCTGTATTGAAAAATGCTTGAGTCGTTAGGGCACTTTCCCAGGCAGTGGGAGATTTGCATTAAAAACCCTCAAGATCACAAGGTGAGGGGCAGAACCATGATCTCCCAGTTCCTGACCAAGTGCTTGAACCACAAGACAACTGGGTAAAAAAACCAAGTGCCACCACCCTGTGCTCAGCTCAGTATCAAGCAGTCCTTGTACTTGCTCCTTTTTAGTTCACACACATGGGCATTTACAGAGATTGTACGGGTTTCCTAGGTACAATAAGGTCAGAAGGGAATGGCAGTGGAGTTAAGCACCTAAGGTATCTTGGTTCAGTTCTGGGCATGCTCAGAAGTCTGAGTATGCAGGGGACTGAAGAGAGCACTTGGCTGAATCTCCACATGAAGGGGCATGTGCTTACAGTGACACAAAAAAATAAAGGTTCAAATTTGTACCACTGCTTTTTGCCCCTGTGCACACCTCTGCATGTGCGCTTCAGTGGGGAGCAAAATGCCCCACTTTGTGCAAACTGCTGGTTCCCCGCTTCTCCCACCTCTCATCATGCTGGAGGAGCCAGGGTATACCAAGAAGCGGGGAGACCCTTTGGCCCGCAGCCAGAGCATCTCCCAAGAGGAGCCAGCCTCCAGTTGCTCTAGTGCACTCCACTTTTTCTTGCCACATTTTTTGTTTGTATTGAGAGTTCCCAGGATCAAATGTTGGTGTTGTGCTGGTGCCACAAATTGTATGTGCCTGCTTGTCTGGATGTGACTCTTGAGGTTAGGATAAAGGTGAACAAACAGCATGGAAAGTGTTTCACAGGGGTTAAATAAGATGTTGTTTAGAAACTTAATTGCTGCATAGTCAGAGGGCTTTTCTACACTGTAGCAGTAGCTTTTCCCAGGCAGTACCTGCCCATGCAGGCCCTGGTAGCACCCCACCCATCTGCACCCACTGATAAAGTCCAACCCTGAAACTGTGCCAGTGAAGCTGCTCTGGGTTTGTCCCCAGCAACTACTCTCAAGCATTTTAGAGACCAAGGCCCTGAGAATTTTCTCAGATGCTTGCACCCACACATCCTTACCAGCAAACATCTGGGTTTGAACTGTGCATTTGGATGGGCAGGGTGTGTTTGATGGCCAGGACACTCTCCTGTGCCCCCTGCCTACCAATACCATCATAGTATAAATAAGACATTATGGGCATGTCCGCACATGCACGTGAAGCAGCTCAAATAGGAGCAGCAGAAATTTGTGCCAGGGATTTTTGCCTCAGCACACATGCCTGGACACGCACGTTGGTGTGGGGCAAGTTGTGCCACTTGGGGCAAAATGACCCTGCCCAACTCCTCCCAGTTCTTCAGCCAGGGAGAACTAGAGCCTGGGGCCAGCACCTGTGCTGGCCCCAGCAGTATAAAAAGCTGCCCTGGAAACAGTTCACTTACCCTCAGGAGCTTCTGGGAGGGGGCTGGCCATGCCCCTTCCTGTCCCAGGCTGCTGCTTGGTCTATGGAGCTTCAGACCCCTTCCTGCCTCTGGTTACTGTTAGCTGCTGGCTTATTCTCAGAGCTCTTGGGAATAAGTTGGCTGCACCCTTTCCTGTCTTGGGTGGCTGCTGCTGTTGCTGCCCCCTGCAGCGGGGTCCCCTGCTGCACCCCACATGCCACTGCCCCCCCCCCCCTGGGGGGGGCATCCACAGT